ATTTTCTTTAATTGTTGAAATGCTTGAATTAAATTAATTTTACTTATATCTAACTAAAACAAAAAAAATAAAAATAAAAACCCAATTCACCCTCTCATCTTTGCCACAGTACTGTGGATGAGAGAATCCCAATCATCACTACCTCCCTCCATCATCAATGTCTATAACCACCGCCGCCGGCTTCGATTCTCTCCGGAGTTACCCGATTCACGACCACCACCTTCTCATCTCTCTCCACCTGACGCCACTCAGCTTCACTTTTTTCTATCTTTTTCAAAAACACCACACTAACCACAATCTCAAGAACACATGCTCACCCTCTCAAGAACACCCATACCGGAAACCACCGACAACAAGCCGGAAACCAACTCCACCAGCTCCCCTCCCATATCTAAACCCAGTGATGCAAGGGGTGCTAAACCCACAAATTAAAACCAAACATTATGCTTAGAACCCATAAATTAACCTAAGAAATCATTGATGAAATCAAATCAAACCCCCAACTCCATCTCCAGCGATAAGCAACTGATTCGAGACTTAATCTTCAATGTTTTCTTCCTTAATTTATGTAACAGACAAGCCACAAGAACATTATCCATTTCCCTTCCTACAGCTCCAATGATTTCAGTAAAGCCATTTGTCACCATCGCATCCTCCGCCACTACAAGCTACTTCCTGTTAAAATCTATGAACCCCCTCGCCCTATTTCCTCTCATTCTCTACTCCACTACCCACTTTTGATTTTGGCTCCAGATGCCAAATCGAAAATGATTTTCAGATTCGATTTTAGTGGAAATTTCGATGTGGACTTCGATTTTCAGATTTAAGTTCACCAGGAAGCACCGTTGTGGTGAATCGACTCAACCATCAACAACTCCATCGATCTGGGGGAGGTCGATTGTAGGTGGCGGAAGGAAATGGGTGAAGATGGAGGTTTGGGATGACAACCGTCTTGAAGGCATAGGAGATGAAGATGCAGACACTGGAAAAATCTCCATCGGAAAAGCTTGCTCCGACAAAGTCGACGTCGGTGAAGCCAAGGTTCAAGCAGAAGATTAATTTGGTGGTGGCGATGTGGGTTTGACTTTGTTTTTGGTGCTGATGGTTCCAATTGTGATGATAACATCCAAGAGAGAGAGAGAGAGAGAGAGGGAGAGGTGGGTTTATTTTGCTTTTGTTTTTCAGTTTATTATAAGAAAAAGAAAATAAATAAAAGAAATTGAAAAACAATTATTTAAGGAGCATATTAGTCATTTTAGGTTGGGTGTAGACCAAAAACATAAAAAATACAACTTATAGGGACCAAAACCACATAAGGTATCCAAAATTGGACCACTGATGCACCACCAAACTTTTCTGGATCAAAACCATATAATTTTGACAAAACTTTTGTGGATCAAAACCATATAATTTTGACAAACACACTGACCAATTTTGCAATTTTATCTTTACATTTGAAACAACCTCTTTCTACAAACAGTTTTGAAAACAACCCTTTTATTACAGAAAAAAAAATGAGTTGGCTACTATTCCCAATGATTTTCCTTTTTGGTTCTAGATATAACTTTTTGTATTTCAAAATATCTAAAACACAGTCTATGATGTACATATATCTACAATTTTTCTTCAAAATTTTTGGTAATTATCACATACATCAATATAAATTTTTATGTATTTCCATTTCAAATATTAAGCTTATCTTATACTATTAATTAAATTTTGAAAGTCAACAAAATATATGCATGTAAACCAAAACCACTTGGTGTGTGCTTAACCACTCCTAACGACATCAATCATAAGAAACCCAAACCTACCCTTCCAATTTTTCACCAATGGTTGTTGAACTACACCCCCCACAAGCCCTAACCGATTCACTTACTTGCAGGAAATCTTAGATAGTATATTTGAATTTAGTTAAATATTATTATTTTTATATTTTACATGAAAGATTTAGTATTTGTTTAGACCATGTGGATGAACAATATTGCATTGGAAGAATTAACGGATACTAATTAAAATCTAAATAGACAACGATCCAAAAGTGGACTTAGGAAGTTTCACGAGCCTTATTAATATTTTGACTTTAGAGGTCACTTGATACTCTTATATCATATAGATAAAACATTAAATAAATATGAAATGGAAATATTAAACAAATTCATAAAGGATTACATGAATTAGTTATTATTAGGTAACCAAAACCTTTATCATCATCCGCTTATATACATACATACATACAGAAACCATCTTCAAGCTTATAAACCCATTTCTCTCCTTCTCTAACTAGATTTTTAAAAACTGATAATAATAATAACCATGGTTTGGTCAAATCGCCGCCTTCTTTTGACAGAGACCCCCCTGATCAGTGGAGATGATACAGATGATTCTTCCCACTCAGAGGAAACAAATTTCGATTCAGACATGGTGGTAATGCTGGTCGCCTTGTTATGTGCACTAGTAGCTGCACTCCTATTAAATTCAGTAGTACATCTATATTTACGACGTAGACGTGAGTCCATAGAGGCGGCAACAAGTTTACAAGCTTCTGGGCTCGCAAAACGAGCAATAAAGAAAATTCCGGTGGCAAGGTTCAGTATGCGAAGAGGTGGTTCAGCCACTGAATGCTCAATTTGTCTTGGAGATTTTGTAAATGGAGAGAAGGTGAGAGTGTTGCCGGAATGTAACCATGAGTTTCATGTCAAGTGTGTAGATAAGTGGCTAAACGAACATGCATCATGCCCAAACTGTAGACGGTCTCTGGTTCCACCTAAGGTTGTTGATGGCGGAGACCAGGCATCTGTTAGGGCTGAGCAAGGGGGCATGTAGGCATGGTTTAGTATTTTGAAGCAAACTCCGAGTCCGAGATGTTTGGTTAGGTGTATTTCAAGTCGAACCATTTGTAAATATACTATAGTTTGGAGAGATAGACCAACCAATTCAACTTACAAGTCAAACTTAATTAAATATGGATTTGATCTCTACTTTTATGGAAGAGTTTCTCCAAGATAAAAAAAAATGAAAGCCATATAAAAGAACATTATAAATGTAGCATTTTGAAATGTTTAATGTCATATATAGTTTACATTACGATATTTGTTTAACTTTTTTTTTTCTCGAAATTTCAGAAATGTTCTTTCGATTTCGAACTTGTTCTTGAAATTCCAATGTTTTTTTTCCCAAAATCCGATATTTTTGTCAGGAATGTGGATAGTAGTCCGGAATGCAGTTCCAGAATCAATCAAAAAAAATGTTTTTTCTTGGTCCGGAATACTCATTCCGGACAAAGTGGTTATTTTTGCTAAAAAAATTTGTTATTTTTTTCAAATACTCATTAAAAAGCGGTTAGATTATTTAAGAGTAAATTACAGAAATGGTCCGTATGCTTTGCTCAAATTCGCGATTTTGGTCCAACCTTTGAATAGTTGATAAGTGGCATCCCTGTGGTTTTCAATTATTTCAGTTTTGGTCCTTTGATCTAACTCTGTTAGAAAAAGTTTGTGAAAAGCATGTAAAATGACGAACATACCCCTCATTTATTTTTTTATTCTTTTTCTTTATAATTTTATCATTATTTATCTTTAAGGCCATATCCCTATCCCTCATATTTTGCCTTCCGATTAGCCCTCCACTGTCACTCTTCCGATCAACCCTCCGGTCATATTTTTCGAAAACTTCCTCCGACCATCTTCTCCGAAAACTTCCTCCTGTAATCTTTAACCTCCAACATGTTTCTTTAAGCAACCTGATCGAATCAACACACAACATTTTGGAATTGGATGTTATGGACTTCACTGAATTTATGAATCTAGCTAGAAACCAAAAACCTGGATTCTTAAAGAATTTGATGCACAAAAACGAGCCAAAACTAGATACCAAATATCTTATGCGATTTCATGTACAAAAAGAGGACAAAATTAGATCGGGAGGAAAGAGAAAGTGGAAAAGTGGATACCAGAAACCCGATTCTTATGTGATTTGTTACACAACCATCTCCATTGCTTCCTATTACTTGTATCAGATTCAAGAAAAATAGACAATTTCCAATTGATTCAACTTGTATTGTCTCAAAACATCAACATACAAAAGAAAAATAGACAATTCCCAATTGATTCAACTTGGATGTTTTAACCTTTTTAGAACCAAAAAGAAACTTAATCAATTGCAATCTTCATTAATGGTGGAAACACTTGCAATATATGTTTGACATGTATTTCTCAACGAGGCATTAATCTAGATAATATAACTTTCACACAGTTTCAATCAAATTATATCCAACGAGACTTGAGAATAGAGAGACAACATAAGTAGAGACGTTGAGGGAGAATTGTCTATGACAACAAAAGGAAGTAGTGAAGAGATATGGAAGACTGTATGAGAGAACCACCATCATCGGAAAGGACAACAACCATCAGACGAGGGAGGTGGTGGGACGAGTGAGGCAGAAAGTTCTGTCATCAACATGGATTTCATCGAACCCTTTTTTGTCTCTCTCACTAATTTGCATCTAGGATTCAACTCTGGTAAAAAGCAGTGAAGGGTGATGTAACGCCCGCAGATTCGAGCTAGTCAATTTAGAGACAATAAGCATCAAAAATGATTTTTTGATAGAAGATTATTTAGAATAAATAATCTTAACTAAGTTATAGTATATGTCACAAGGGTTCCGTACATATAAAGAAAACGCTGAAATCCGAGTTATAACGAAGAAGTTATGACATGTCGAAGTTTTACGGCTAAACCGGCACGGCACCGTGTAACATAAAAAGTGAATTTTTGATAAATTACTTTTTAGCCTTAGGAATCTAAACGAAAGACATAGTATATGTTAAACCGAGAACGTACATAAAAAGAACGTCCAAATCTGACTTCGTATAAAGAAGTTATGAATTTTCTTAAATTTAGCATAACAGTGCACAACCCGGAATTCGAATTTTAGATCGATCGATTTTTAGCCGACACAACCTAAATGAGAATTGAAAATCTCTATAATAGGAGTTTAACGATAAAAAGACAGTCGAAAACGGAGGCTGTATGTAGAAGTTATGAATTTTACACGGTCGTTAAACAGTGTAATCTTCTCATACTATTAAATTTAAAATCGGTCGAGAATTAGCCAATGGAGTCAAAAGGAGACCTGTAGATCTTTTCAATACCTACGTGTGGATATAAAGAACGTCGAAAACAAAGCTCGTATGAGAAAGTTACTAAATTTAGAAGTCGGAAGGGTGCTGCTGCGAAGGGGGTGACGTGGCACAATCCTGACCATTGCTTCCTCCCCACGCCTTGCCACCAGATGGTGACACTTGGCACTCAACTCGACGAGTTGGAGGCTCCAACTCGGCGAGTTGGGCCATATTTGTAACACCCATAATCAGAAAGACCAAGAAAAGAGAGGAAAGGCTCTAAGTCAAGAGTCAACTCGTCGAGTCCAGGGAGGAACTCGACGAGTCGGAGCGGGATCCGGGGCATAGAGTAAGTGACCGACTCGGCGAGTCGGCTAGTGGACTCGGCGAGTCTGTTCTGGGCGAGAAAAACCCTGATCCCGGGGGTTATGCCCTATTTAAAGAACATTACATCCCTTCCTCAGCCTCTTTACTCCCCTTTTGAGATCCAGAAACCCTAAATCGTGAGTGAGAGCCCTTGGCAGCAATTTAGAGCCTAGATAAGTGATTTTGGTGGAAAGGGGCTTGAAGATCAAGAGGCTTGCTGCAAAGGAGTGGTGTAGATCCAGGATCTACTTCAGTTGGAGCATATATTGGAGGTAATAAGCTGTTGCTTTGGCTTTATTGCAAATAGATCTATCTTATGTTTGAGATTTGGGGCATTTGGGCATGATTGAGATCTATGTCGAGTTAGAGGCCTATATCTGAGGTTGCTACCTCAGATCTAGACTTGTGATGGTCAAGAAGGTCATAAAGTTCATGTTAATAAGTTGTTGGTGAAGCCCCTTTGTCTTAAACCCTAGCCCTTGAGTGTTTTGGGCCTTTAGCTCCTTGGTTTCACGTAAAGTTTGCAACTTTACATGGGGGATAGACTGTAGAAGAGTGGACCTATGGATTGGAGCCCCTGCATGGCTCGAAAAGCCACTGTATGGATTGGGAACTGGAGAAACTCGACGAGTCACATGGGTGTACTCGACGAGTTGTATGAATATGTGCATGGGCTCGGCGAGTTGGAAGAACAACTCAGCGAGTCTGTTGAAGATTGCCTAGGACTCGGCGAGTCTGTTCTTGGACTCGACGAGTCAGGTCGCAGAACCCCCAACCTCTTCTGGTTAAGACGCGGATCAGTGAGTTGAGTGGTGACTCAGTGAGTTGGACAGGATGAGACTCAGAGATCGTTGAACTCGACGAGTCCTGGGGTGACTCGGCGAGTTGGGTAGTATTTTGAGAGCTTCTGAGTTTAAGGACTCGATGAGTCTACGGGTTGACTCGGCGAGTCAAGTCAACTGGAAGGTTGACTTTGACAAGGACTTTGACTTTATCCATAGTTGACTTAGTTTGACTTCTAGAGTTCAGTTTAGAACTAAGTGTTTTATTGATATTAGTAGCTCGGGGAGCTAGTGGAGCAGCGCTTCAGGGAGTGGTCGGACAGCAGCCAGAGGGTTATCAGTAAAGTTCAGCAGTGCGAGGTGAGTCTCATCACTGTTTGTATGGGTCTACTGCCACAATGCCGACCCATTTAGTTTATGTATGGTAGGAAGACCCGGGGGTTAGCCCTAGGCATTATGCATGAAAGACCAGGAGGAAGCTCCTGGCACACAGTATGTTATTATGTATGGTAGGAAGACCCGGGGGTTAGCCCTAGGCATTATGCATGAAAGACCAGGAGGAGGCTCCTGGCACACAGTATGTTATTATGTATGGTAGGAAGACTCGGGGGTTAGCCCTAGGCAACATGTATGAAAGACCAGGAGGTGGCTCCTGGCACACTGTATACTATTATGAATGAAAGACCAGGAGGTGGCTCCTGGCACACTGTATGCTGAGTAGCCTAGTAGAGTAGTATGTATAGTTGTCTTTGTGATGATTGCATGGAAGACCAGGGGGTGGCCCTTGGCACTTATCTGTAAGACCCAGGGAGTGGCCCCCAGGCTTTACAAGAAAGACCACGTGCGGCCCGTGGTAATACAGCAAGACTATGTTTGGCACATAGCACTTTACTTGATTATGGATATGTTTTTTATGTATGGCTCATGGTTACGTATGGCATGTATGGATCAGTTGGGTTGTATGGTATGTGGTATCTGGGGAACTCACTAAGCTTCGTGCTTACGGTTTTCAGTTTTGGTTTCAGGTACTTTGTTTTCAAGGAAAGGAGCCGGCTCGATCGCAGCGCATCACACTATGTTTTCCGCACATGAGATCTTTGGGATCACACTCTGATATGGTTTTATGATAATATGTTTTGATTACTGACACTTTGGCTTGACACGAGATATTATTATGAATGTTTTTATACTGATGGTCTATGTAATAACTTATTTAAAAATAAAATTTTTGGCCTTGAATTTTGGGATGTTACAAGTTGGTATCAGAGCCTTGGTTTGAGGGATTCGGACATACTCTTAGGTGTGTCTGAACTCAAACTAAGGGCTTGGTATGAAAATTTTCAAAAGGAAAACCATTTTTTATAAAAAAATGAGTTTGAAAAGAATTTGAAAGGAGAAAAGAACTTTGAGAAGAACAAAGTGTGTGATTCGTGCAATCAGCCGAGCTCAAGTAAGTTTACCCCAAGATACCCATACAAGTTTATATTATGTTTATCAGTTTCGGTAGAATAGCATGCTAGAATAGGACTAAGGATCTAGGAATGACGCCTTATGT